AACTACCTTGGCGAATGCTATCCAAATCCTAAACTATTCAGGTTGTCTAACTCCCTAGCATGCAGAGGCGGATCCAGGATTTAGATTATATGGGTTTAACTTTTAAGGTTTTAGAATTAAATCCACTTTTTTTTGGCATTGTTAATAAATTTTTACACATAAGTTTATGTTTAAAAATTTATGCTCCGCGTCGAAGGTTCAGATGAACCCGAACCCAAACTCTTCCTCCGCCCCTGCCCGCAAGTTGGTGTCAGAGGTCTTACAGCAATCAGCTTGGTACATAAAATCTGATATAGAGCCTTTGCCAATGGTTTAGTGAATATATCAGTTAGCTGATGCAAGGAGGGAACGAACTTAGTTACCATAGCACTTTGTATCAGCTTTTCTCGCACAAAGTGGTAATCTATCTCAACATATTTGGTTCGTGCATGCAACACAGGATTGGAAGTGAGATGGAGAGCACTTAAATTATCTGTGAAAAGCAGCGGAGGACATGGTAATGAAATGCCAATAGCCTTCAGTAGATAAGTCACCCAAGTGAAGGGGCCTAGGAAGACACATAAACCGAAGGTAGATCGCCTAGTGAAGGGGCATCTTGCCCAATCACATTGTTGGGGCCAATGTACAAGTATGCGTAGCCGACAAGTAATAAAGTGATAAGAAAGTATTGTTCCCACGAGGATTTACGATTAACTACCGTCTAAACTAGACTAGTTACGAGTTATTTGTTCAAGTGAATTTCAAGAGATGACTGTGATTTTTATTATAACTAAAATTACTGCTGAAAACTAAAATTGAGCAAAAGAACCAGAATGCAAGGAAAATACGCGAACACTTTAGGAGCAAATTCAATGAGAGAGATATTCCGGGGTTAAAGGATTAACGCACATCTATCCTACTGAGTTTTTCTAGTTGGTTTAACTACTTGATCTATCCAATCTCGCGAGGTTCTTTCGGTGCCTTGCTTGCCTATTCAAGCCAACCAAATACTATATGTCTATGAAATTAGAATTAACTAGAATGCATGTGTATTCCTGCGATAATAACCAAGTAAGGCAACTAGAATATGTCTATCCTAATCGCGAATCTATTCTTCGATGTTCAAATTCAAGAACTTACTCTATTCAATCCTATATGTAATCAATAGTTTCCACCTTCGAGTTCAACAATAAATTCGTAGAGAGTATTCTAGTGTTAACTACACAATAAAATAATTAATTAGAAGTTTGAACAAAATCAATATAATTAAATCAAGTAATATCCACAACCGTCAAACGACAATATTCAAGAACTACCCATAACCCAAGAATAAGAAGGTTTTATCCACTCATAATTGTATGATCAATCAAAATATTACTTTGAATCATAAAAACTACAAATACTAGATGAAGAATGGGATGAGATGATTACATGATCCGTGTGTGTTCCTTCGCCCTCCTTGCCTTAAATAACGTCTAACCCCTTCTTAGACAAATTTATGTGGTATTTATAGGTTTGGGTCATAATATCCAAGTCCAGAATCAACAATAAGCCAATTTTCTCTCGAACAGGGGCACTGCTGCGAGGCGCCATGGGATGGGGTGAGGGTGATAGGTTATGTGTCTTATTAATGTGTCTTATTATGTTTTGATGATCTAAAAAACTTAATGATAATAACTAGATCGGGAACCTGTTATACATCCTCAGTGCTCAAGAACAACAAGTCTTAAGTTGGGCACAAGTTCCAACAGTTAGAGTCAAAGAGACGAGAGAGGGAACAGATGGACATCAGTTCCCCTGCTGACTGTACCAGTCAACTCCCCACAGCTGTAAAGTTGCTGCAACTGTTTCGTCTGCACACGTGCAACAAGGCAAACAGTATAGCAGTCACTTTATGGGAAATACCTTGTAACGGATAATTGCTTGCATCATCCAAGTGACATCATTTGTATATTATCAACATGATGCAAAGGAAAACAAGTCACTTGAACACTTGGAAATCATCAAGCTTCTCTCTCGTGTGTGCTGCAATCTTGCAAGTGTCAAGCCTTCAAGAATAAAGAACAACAGAACAACGACCCGTTTCCAGCATTAAGTTACCATATGTCCTTAGTTGTGGTGTACCTTTGTTAGAGAGATTTACTTGTAATTCCTACTTAGCTTAGCTTGAAGCATTGTGTTGAAAATCAGTTCTAAAACCATAAACATTGTGTTCGTGTCTTTGCTAGAGTTAGCCGAGTTGTGAGCTTTGTAATAGAGTTATTAATAATGGGATTGTAATAGAGTTATTACAAGTGAGTGTGGGATTAAGAGTTAATTCCTAGGTTATAATAGTTTGTAATCTGAAGTTTGCTCAGTAGTGAAGTTAAAATCCTTCAAGTGTAAGTCGTGGTTTTTAATCTCGTGAGCTGGGAGTTTTCCATGTAGAACTCTGCTGCGTCATTTACTTATCTTTAGTTGTTTGTGCTTAGTGGGAACTGATAGAGGACCAGGTTCTCTATACAGTTTGGTGGACCCTTAATTTCTATCAATTGGTATTAGAGTAGGTTCTTTCTATGAGACTAACACCTAGAAAGGATCCTCATGTCTACTCCGCCAAACTTTGAAGAAGGTTAATCTACCTACAGACCACCAAGGTTCAGTGGACAATACTACAGATGGTGGAGGACAAGGATGTATGATTTTATCATGGCTGAAGATTCAGAGCTCTAGGATGTTATCTGCGATGGAACCTTCATCCCTATGAAGACCATTGGTGAACCAATAGTGGCAATTCCTAAGACAAGGAAGGAATACAATGATGCTAACCGCAAAGCTATAGAGAAGAACTTCCGAGCATAAAAGAACCTCGTCTGTGGTATTGGACCTGACGAATACAACAGGATCTCTGCCTGTCAATCAGCCAAGGAGATCTAGGAAGCTCTCCAAACGGCACATGAAGGAACAACTCAAGTCAGGTAGTCAAAGATTGACATGCTCACCACTGAGTGTGAACTCTTCAAGATAAAGGATGATGAGTCTATTCAGGATACACACACTCAATTCACCTCCATCATCAATGAGCTTCACTCTTTGGGAGAAATCATTCAAGGAACAAAGTTGTTAGGAAAATACTTAGTGTACTACCGGGTTCCTAGGAAAGTAAGGTCAATTCTATCAAAGAGGCAAAGGATCTGCAAAAGTTGACCATTGATGAACTCATTGAAAATTTGAAGACGTATGAAATGAAGAAAAAAAGGACCATGAAAGAAGAGAACCCAAACAAGGAGAAGAACCTGGTCCTCACGGCTGACAATAATGACTCAAGTGGTGAAGATGTTGACATGGCTTATTTAACAAAAAGATTCCAGAACATGATGCACAGAAATGGAGGCATTCCAAAAAGGGGTAGCTCCAGCAGACCAAAAGACTATGACTTATATCATAAATGTGGAAATACAGGACATTTCATCAAAGACTGTCCTTTGCACAAGCAAGATCGGTACAAGCACAACACAGACAAAGCAACCAAGAGGAACTTGGTTCTTGATAGAAGATTCAAGAGAAATGATGCTGCTAACAATGTTGTGAAACAAGCTCTTGCCGCATGGGGAGATTCCTCCAGTGAATCTGAAGGAGATCATGAACAAGGTGATACCTCAATGATGGCCATTGAAAGGAAGCAATGGAGTATGATTTTATGTTTGCCCTGATGACAAAATTTGATGATGATGAAGATGAGGTAAAATTTCTGGATTTGAACGTCCAATTCTCAAAAGAAGCTTATATCCTTGGAAAATGTTCTAATTGATACATTTCACAATCTCATTAACGATAAAAATGTGCTAACTGTGGAATTAGGAGAAGTAGAATATAAGAGAGATGATCTAGTAGTTGTAGTGGTCGATTTAATAGAAACCATTGAGGTTTTAAAAAGGGAAAATAATGCTTCAGCTGAAAAAATTGCAATCGTAGAGCATGAGAGAGATGACCTGCTGGTAGTAGTTGTGGACCTAAAAGAAACAATTGAGGAACTAAAAAGGGAAAGCATGTATGGGAACATTCAAAAAGGAGAATGATAGGTTATATGTGTATCCCTGTTATGTTTTGATGATCTAACAAACTTACTGTTAAGAACCACATAAGGAACCTGATACACATCCTCAAGAACTCAAAGATCAACAAGTCTCCAGTTGGGAACACAGTTCAACTCTTTAGAGTCAAAGGAACAACAGAGGGAACATATAGCTACCAGTTCCCGTGGTGACTGTACAAGTCAACCTTTCCAGCTATAAAGTTGCTGCCTGCACACGCAACAGTGCAAAAACAGTGCAACATTCAACTTTACGGGGAATGCTCTTTACCTAACTTGCTGACATCATTCAAGTGCTGTCACAAATGAATTATTAACATCAAGCAAAGATAAAACAAAGAACTTTCACATTCAAGAATTGATCAAGCATTCTCTCAAGTTATTCATCAATCTTGCAAGTGACTCTCAAGTGCATTAAGAACAAAGAACAACATAACAACGGACCAGTTCCCTATATCGGGTTATTACATGTCCTTAGTTGTGTTGTACCTTTGTTAAAGCACTCTACTTGTAATTCCCACTTAGCTTAGTTAGAAGCATTGTGTAGGAAATCCTTGTAAATCATAAACCCTTGTGTTTGTGTCTTGGCTAGAGTTAGTCGAGTTGTAAAGTCTTTGTAATAGAGTTATTACAAAGTGGGTTGTAATAGAGTTGTTACAAGTTAGTGAGAGACTAAGAGGTTTATTCCTATGTTACAATAGTTTGTAATCTAAAGGTTACTCAGTGGTGAAGTTGAAACCTACAAGGGTAGGTCGTGGTTTTTGAACCCGTGAGCTGGGAGTTTTCCACGTAATAATCCATTGTGTCATTTACTTACTGCAGTATGTGTGTGTTCTGTGGAAACTAATAGAGAACCTGGTTTTATATATAGTTTGGTGGACCCTCAATATCTATCAATTGGTATCAGAGCGGGTTCTTTCTATCAGGCTAACACCTAGAAAGGATCCTCATGGCTGCTCCGCCAAACTCCGAAGAAGTTCAGTCTACCTACATTCCGCCAAGATTTAACGGCCAGTACTATAAATGGTGGAAGAAAAGGACGTACGACTTCATCATGACTGAAGACTCAGAGCTCTGGTATATCATCTGCGATGGACCCTTCGTTCCTACGAAGACCATTGGAGACCCCGCACCGATAGTTGCTAAAACTATAAAGGAATATAATGATGTTGACCGTAAGGCTATTGAAAAGAACTTTTGAGCTAAGAAAATCCTCGTATGTGGTATTAGACCAGATGAGTACAACATGATTTCAGCATGCCAATGAGCTGAGGAGATCTGGGAAGCCCTCCAAATAGCTCATGAAGGGACAACACAGGTAAAGAAGTCCAAGATTGACGTGCTGACCACAGAGTTTGAGCTTTTCAGAATGAAGGACGATGAGTCCATTCAGGATATGCACATTCGTTTCACATCTATCATCAATGAGGTTCACTCACTGGGAGAGATCATCCCTAGGAACGAACTTGTTAGGAAGATACTTAGTGTATTACCTAGTTCCTTGGAAAGCAAAGTAAATGGCATTACAGAGGCAAAGGATCTTCAGGAGCTGACCATTGATGAACTTGTCGGCAATCTCAAGACCTATGAAATGAAGAAGAAGAAGGATAATGAGAGAAGAGAGCCCAATAGGGAGAAGCATCTGGTCCTCAAAACGAACAATAATGACTCAGGTGGTGAGGATGCTGATATGGCCTACCTGACAAAGAGGTTTCAGAAAATGGTTCGCGGAATTGGAGGCATTCCAAAAAGGGGCGCTCCAGCAAGCCAAAAGATTATGACCTATGTCATATGTGCGGCAAGCCAGGACACGTCCGGATTGCCCTTTCCTCAAGAAAGATTAATACAAACACAACACTGACAAAGCAGCTAAAAGGAATGAGGTTCCTGACAAACGATTCAAGAGAAAAGATGTCGCTGATAATGTTGTGAAACAAGCCCTTGCTACATGGGGAGACTCTTCCAGCGAATCTGGAGAAGATGATGATCAAGGTGATAGCTCCATGATTGTAGTAAAAAGTGAAGCCACTGAGTATGACTCAATCTTTGCCATTATGGCAAAAATTGACAATGATAATGATGATGTAAACTTCTTAGATGTTCAAAAAAAAAATCTAAAGTCTTACTCTTCGGAAAAACTTATGTATTTGGAAAATATTTTAATTGATGCGTATCATAGTCTTGTAAATGATAAAGATGCATTAACTGTGGAACTGGGAGAAGCAGTACATTGGAGAGATGATCTAGTAGTTGTGGTGGCAGACTTAAAGGAAACCATTGAGAGTCTGAAGAAGGAAGAAGATGCCTTAACTGAAAAAATTGCAACTATAAAACATGAGAGAGATGATCTAGTGGTAAAAGAGATCACTGAGTGTGTTACAAAGGAGAAAGAGGTTTTAACTGTGAGGGTTGCTGACATTGATCATGAGAGAGATGACCTAATAGTAGTGGTTGTAGGCCTAAAAGAAACAATTGAGGAACTAAAAAGGGAAAGTAGGCCTGGGAACACTCAAAAAGCAAAGGAAGTTGTAAGTGAAACACACCTTAGGCTTGAATACGAGTTAAAATCAGTGAAATCTAGTCTGTGTGCAGAGCTTGAGAAAAACAGACAACTTCAGGAAGACCTAGGAAGAGTGAAGAGTGACCTAGAAAAATCACTTAAGTGGACCTGGTCCTCTGATGCAATCACTGCTATGTATACAAACAGTGGGGGAAACAGGCAGGGAATCAGGTTCCAAAGGGAAAAGACTCCTTACAACTCTCATTGCAAGTACGTTACTTTACCTGATAACTGACTCTGCACTTATTGTGGTAACAATGGGCAATTTAAGGAAATCTGTAAGGCCAAATTTCAATCTCAACAAAAAAAACAATATTTTTGCTGAAAAAGTAACTAATGCTAGGGAACCTGGTCCTTCATATAAAAAATGTGTGATGCATACTTGGACCAAAAGAGCTCTCATTCACCAATTTCCTAATTACAAGGGACCCAAATTTATTTGGGTGTCTAAGTCTAAATCTTGATTTCAATGTGCAGGGAACAACGAAAAGGAGCAGCCAACAAAGGTGTATGGATAGCGGCTGCTCGAAGCACATGAGTGGAAGCACAAACGGTTTCCTTTCACCGAAGGCTCTGTAGGGAGGGAGTGTATCCTTTGGAAATGGCAAGAAGGGATACATTTGGGAATTGGAAGGATCGAGAAGTCTCTTTCTCACTCTATTGAAAATGTGTACTACGTCAACGTGTTGAAGTACAACTTGCCGAGTGTTTCTCAAATATGTGACAAGGGAAACAAAGTGGAATTTGTATCCAAGATATGCAAAGTCACAAATCTTGTGACTAGAGAAGTGGTGTTAGTGGCCAAACGATACAAAAATATCTACGTTGCTGACTTTGAGACCTTGAAAAATGGAGATCTCAGCTATCTGAGTGCTGTTGATGATAATGCTAAGCTATGGCACAGAAAGCTAGGTCTTGCAAGTTTTGCATTGTAGAACAAATTCGCCAAGAAGGACTTGGTTCGTGGTCTGCCCAAGTCAAGCTTCAAGCATCACAAGGTGTGTGAAGCATATGTAAAAGGAAAGCAAGTCAGATCCTATTTCAAGCCCAAAAAGGAAGTTAGTACCTCAAGGCCACTTGATCTCCTCCATATGGATCTATGTGGACCTATGAGGGTGCCAAGTAGAGGAGGAAAAAAGTACATATTTGTTATAGTGGACGACAATTCTAGATTTACTTGGACTCTACTTCTCAGATGCAAGGATGAAACCTTTCAAGTGTTTGTGGCATTTGTGAAGAAGATCCAGGTGAAGACGAGCCATAATGTAGTATGTATTAGGTCTGACCAGGGGACAAAATTTGATAATGCCATATTTGACGAATTCTGTGCTAAAATGGCATCACTCACAATTTGTCAGCTCCAAGAACACCACAACAAAATGGTGTTGTGGAGAGAAAGAATAGGACTCTTGAAGACATGGCAAGAACAATGTTGATTGACAGTGGCGTTGCAAAAGGTTTCTGGGCAGAAGCCGTCAATACTACATGATACTTGGTGAACAGGTGTATGATGAGGTCCCTTCTGAACAAAATGCCATATGAACTGTTGAACGGAAGGAAGCCCAAGCTGACACATTTAAGAACATTTGGCTGCAAATGTTTTTTCCTTAACAATGGCAAGGAAGACTTGGAAAATTCAATGCCAAAAGCGACGGGGGAATCTTTCTAAGCTATTCATCAAAAAGCAAAGCCTACAGAGTATACAACAAAAGAACTCAATGTGTTGAACAAAGCATACATGTGATCTTCAACGAATCTCATGACCCATGTGGAAAGGATTTGAATGATAAGAATGATTAAGACTGAAAACAGTCAATTGTCCCTGGTGAAGTCATTGCCTTGGAAAATGGAAAGGCTGATATGATGAGCCACGTTGAGGAGTCAAATAAGGATGGTGCAACCATATCTCCAATTAATGGAGAGGAACCTGGTCCCTCAGTCACAACAATTGAATCTAAGAACAGAGTTGTTGATGCTATCCCAGGTGTCCAACTAGAAGCACAAAAGTTCACATCCTCTTGAAAACATAATCACTCCTCTTGATTCAGGAATTCAAACCAGATCAAAGACAAGAAACTCACTTGCCTTCTCAGTCTTTCTTAATTAAATAGAGCCCATAAATATCAAGTAAGCATTGAAAGATATAGACTGGATTACAACTATGCAAGAAGAGCTCCATCAATTTGAGAGGCAGTGAGTGGTACCTGGTTCCACGATCTGCTGATCGAACTGTAATAGAAACATGGTGTGTACTCATAAACAAACTTGATGAGTTTGGAAATACAACAAGGAACAAGGCAAGGATAGTAGTTCAAGGCTACAATCAAGAAAAAGGGATTGACTATGATGAAATGTTTGCTCCAGTTGCTCGAATGGAGGCCATCAGAATTCTCATTGCCTTTGCATCTCATATGGAATTCAAATTGTTCCAAATGGATGTCAAATGCATTTCTGAATAGCTTTCTAAAAGAAGAGGTCTTCGTCTAGCAACCTCTTGGATTTGAGAATCATGAGCATCCTGAGCACGTCTTTAAACTAGACAAGGCTCTGTAGGGGCTAAAGCAAGCTCCTCGTGCGCGGTGTGAAAGGTTGTCAAAATTTCTTCTATAAAATTATTTTACAAGAGGAAAAATTGACAACACCCTTTTTCATAAGAAACGAGAAAGGAACATGCTCATTGTGAAAATCTATGTTGATGACATTATTTTTGGGGCAACAAATGATTCTCCGTGTGAGGAATTTGCAAAACTCATGGGGAGTGAGTTTGAAATGAGCATGACGGGGGAACTGAACTTTTTCTTGGGTTTACAAGTGAAGTAAACTCCCAAGGGGACAATGATAAGTTAATAGAAGTACATCAAGGAGGTGTTCAAGAGATTTGACATGGAAGGATAAAAAATCATTGATACTCCCATTTCCACAGCCACTCGTCTGGACATGGATGAACCTGGTTCCTCTGTGAATGAGACCATCACTACTAGAAATTGGAGCTATGGCAACGCTTTTTATTGCTACGGATCCATAACCGTTCCAATAGGTGTTCTATTGTTACGGTTATAACCGTTACAAACAACTGTTCAAACTACCGGGACACTTAGCAACTGAACCGTTGCAATAGTCTCAATAACCGTTCCTATAAATGTAATATTGGCAACAGTTTATATAACCGTAGCAATACATACATCTATGGTAACGGTTAGATGTATTGTTACGGTCATTTTAGTTCCCTCCTTATTTTTCACCAAAAATTTCAATACCCGCTAAAATAAGGTGGGGCCCACAATCTGATTTTTTTTAAAGTTTTATATCTACTTTAATCGAATATATATATAATATACAAACTCCATCCGAAAAAAATCCCCAAATTCCACAATTTCATTCCTGTTGGCGCATTTTCGCTTAGGGTTTTGCTATCTTCCCTAGGGTTTCAGGTTCGCATCTTCTTCCCAATTTCTCCAGCTAAACATCAGTTATATGCTCATCTTATTTTGTAATTATTGTGAATCTCGCTGAATTGGGGAAAAGTTCTATTTTGTCCATGGACTTTAAGGGTCTCACAGTAGATTTTTGGCTTCGTTTTTCTTACTTTTTATTTTTGTTTATGAGTTGTTTGGCTTTGGCGCAGTGATGCTGTTATGGATTTAGGGTCTCGTTAGACTTGAGATTTTAAAATGTCTCTATCGCTGTCGTCACTTTTTTCTCTTAAATTTTCAGTGAATTTGAAAAGATAATTTGTGTTTATCTCTTAAACTACTTTTCCAATATTAGTTTTGTGTGATAAAAATATGTTTTGTCACCTGAGAATTCACGTAAGCTTGATCCATTGAAGTATAAACTTGAGAACTTTTTTCTCTGGATGCATATTTTTAGATGTTTGCAGAAGAAAAGGAATGTGTGTTTATGTTGACCAGTTATATAAGAAGTGATGTAATGATATGAATTAGTTTCTCTAGATCTAGTTTTTGGTCATTGATATTTCAGCCATTTTTGGTAAAATAACAATAAGGCGGCTGTATAGATAGTAGAAAGCAGATTATAATTGGTAAAAGGATCTCGCGCTTGACAGTAAAATCACATTCAGCCTTTCAGCAAATAAACAATGAGATTTTGAGTAAAAGTAAATTGAGACAAATACATAAACAGGGTATTAGAAGAGATGCAGCTACAAAGTTTTCGATTTTTAATAGCGACAAGATTATCCACTCTAATGTTCTTCCCACAACCATAAGTGCACTGCTCAAAGATACAGGCTATATAATCGTTGCAGATTATTTTTGGTGTTCTCGATCACTTCTAATTCTGTTTCATTTTCTTTTTAGGGAGATTGTTATATGTCTGTTAAATGTCTTACAACATCATGGTCATTTTTGAGTGTTGTGACTAATATGTCATGTGCTATTGTTGTTTTTGAAGGTTATTCAACTCCAGGGTGATCAGAGAAAGAACGTTTCTGCATTTCTTGTCCAGGTGATTGCTCTTTACATCAGCCAATAACTCTCGCTTGTTCATTTTAAGTATATGCTGCCATCATAAAGATGTGTGCTACATACGTTAGTCTGATGATTTTCGTACATTATCTTATACTATAAAGAAATCTTATATCACTCAGCAGATTCTCGACAGCATTAGTTGTCAGAGGATATGTATCTCCTTTTTTCACTAATATGTACTCATCTTATACTATTACGCGTTTGCTTTTTTGAATCTGGCAGAGATTTTAATAGTCATGAATCAAGAAGGGTGCTCAAGCAAAAACAAAAAAATATCCAACCGCATTCTAGCTGGATCACTTGCATCTTTGCGAAACCAAAAGGTTTCGTCTTTGACAACAAAGAGAACCTCTCAAGCTATAAGGTCTAATGAAAATGAAGAAAAATCAGAATCTCGATCACTTGGAACAAGATATTACGATGAATGTCGTTACACGACTTCAACGTCTCAAACCCGATTTAAGACCTGATCCTGACATGCTAATATTCAGTGCTCGTGCACCTGGCGAAGGTGCTTCTGCACAACAAGGTGCTATTCAACCAATCAATCGTCCATCCGCTGGCAATAACAACCAAGGTTAGTCCGTAGCAAATGTTACATGTCTTCTCTTTCCTCTTCTTCTCCTCTTTTTTTATGTTGCTTCTCTACCACTGTGCGCTCTCTCGCTCTCTCTCTTTATCAGTGCGCAAGAGTGTAGGTGAAGAGCTTCAAGCACTTGGTTATATGAGTCAAGGAACAACTTCTTGACTAAATGTGACAGAGTAATAGGAAGTTGAACCAAGTTCTGAAGGGTCAGTTCTTGATTTTGCTGCATGACTAAGCTCCTTCTTAGTGAATAGTGATTCAGAGGCATTCTACATGATGAATCCTGATAGTGATGGAGCTCCTGAACTTAGTATTTACTTGCTTACAGTTTAAGCATTCATGCGCAAACTCGACTATTTAGAGTCTTAAATTTTCCTGCTTTTTTCTGTTAATATGTAGTCTGACTGAGACAGGCTTAAATGGATGGGGTATTCCGTTGAAATTTGATGTGTACTCATTTTGATAGGAATAATTCCATTCTGATATTAACTGAACTAAGTNTGTGTTTTAATCTCTTAAAACTACTTTTTTCAATTATAGTTTTTGTGTGATAAAAATATAGTTTTGTCACCTGAGAATTCACGTAAGCTTGATCCATTGAAGTATAAACTTGAGAACTTTTTTCTCTGGATGCATATTTTTAGATGTTTGCAGAAGAAAAGGAATGTGTGTTTATGTTGAACAGTTATATAAGAAGTGATGTAATGATATGAATTAGTTTCTCTAGATCTAGTTTTTGGTCATTGATATTTCAGCCATTTTTGGTAAAATAACAATGAGGCAGCTGTATAGATAGTAGACAGCAGATTATAATTGGTAAAAGGATCTCGCGCTTGACAGTAAAATCACATTCAGCCTTTCAGCAAATAAACAATGAGATTTTGAGTACAAGTAAATTGAGACAAATACATAAACAGGGTATTAGAAGAGATTCAGCTACAAAGTTCCCGATTTTTAATAGCGACAAGATTATCCACTCTAATGTTCTTCCCACAACCATGAGTGCACTGCTCAAAGATACAGGCTATATAGTCGTTGCAGATTATTTTTGGTGTTCTCGATCACTTCTAATTCTGTTTATTTTCTTTTTAGGGAGATTGTTGTATGTCTGTTAAATGTCTTACAACATCATGGTCATTTTTGAGTGTTGTGACTAATATGTCATGTGCTATTGTTGTTTTTGAAGGTTATTCAACTCCAGGGTGATCAGAGAAAGAACGTTTCTGCATTTCTTGTCCAGGTGATTGCTCTTTACATCAGCCAATAACTCTCGCTTGTTCATTTTAAGTATATGCTGCCATCATAAAGATGTGTGCTACATGCGTTATCCTTGAATTCACTATCAATATCAAAAAATCTTTCTATCATTGTACTGATTAAGCATAGCTAGTTCTTCCTTAAATTTTCAACTGTAGTGAGCTTCTATTTTAGTTCACTAACGACATAATACCTCGTAGGAACATTCTATTTTCTGTGAATGTGTATGTTGCGTCCTCTTTCTGATGTAGAATACTTGTTATGTGAATAGATAAGCTGGATAAAAGCTAGGTAGATTGAATTCGATGATGTAAAGGTCCTTGTCTCGTTGAGCACTTTGTCATCTTCTATCAGATTACCATGAATAAAGAAGAGTGAACAATTGGACATCAAACTTTGCATGAACATCTTTTCTTTTTTAATAATTTTGCTGCTCTTCATCTTGACTGCTTGTAGTGCAGCAGATAAGTATTGATAAAAATTTTGCTACAAGCTACGCATAATGCTCTACCTCAAGGTAATAAGGAAGTGAATTTTGGTGTAGATATTTAGATTCTCATGTGACTTTCTAAAGTTCTTGTACTTTTTGGAGTCACCTTAAGGTGTAGGGTCTTTTTGAAGTGAAGTGGTCTTGCTGAGTTTACATTGATCATCTGCATGTTTGACGTTCTTATTTTTGTCATCGTTGTTGCATTCCTGACAGTTCTATATTCAAAGTGCACATTACTTGTGTGCTTGCTGGACATTTGTATTATATTGCCGTTGAGTTCAAATTGTGCATTCAGTAGTTTCTTGAACCTTTAAAATAGGATCATTCTAGGGTGGCGGGGGCTGTCATTTAGAAGTATGTCGAAAAAATATCCTTTACCTTGCTTTGCTTACCTTCCCCTCTATCAAGGTAAAGGTTGATATCAAGTCCTTCAATATGGTCAGTTTTGTTGAAGGCTGACATTTATATGTAAAGCTTCTATCCAATATCTCAAACTTTTTCTAAGCTTTATTTCTACTATCTGCTTACTGGATGTTAACAGAAGAGATGTAACTTATGCCTTGATATTAGTACGAGGGAATAAACTTTTGCTGTTTTGGCTGTTTATATATGAGATTTTGGGCATTACATATGATGTTATTTTAACATTTGCTTATGCTGGGGCTTTCTATTGTTCTATGTTAGTATTTGGACGAGAACAAATCACTGATTCTGAAGATTGTTGAGAGCCAGAACTCGGGGAAACTCAGTGAATGTGCAGAGTAAGTAAACTTTTCACTTATTTTATTGTAATCGTTTTTGTTTCTTTTAAACCCTTGAGGAAGTAAAGTTTACTTTTTTAAGACTTATTGAAGGCCACTGGTTTTTAAGTAATGCTACATGTCATTTTTGTTCCAAGCTGGTTTTGACTAGAAAACACCAATCAAATAATAGAAAGTGAAAACATATAAAAAGAAATCAGATTACCAAAAAGATTACAAATCTAGTGAAGAAATCATAGTAAAACAAAGAAAGAAAACAGAATCTGTTTTATCTTTTCTTCTTGTAAAACAGAATTTGTTTTATCAGGACCTATTGTGAATAGTTTAGACATGGCTGTAGTATGTGCATAGTCTGATGATTTTCGTACATTATCTTATACTATAAAGAAATCTTATATCACTCAGCAGATTCTCGACAGCATTAGTTGTCAGAGGATATGTATCTCTTTTTTTCACTAATATGTAATCATCTTATACTATTTCACATTTGCTTTTTCGAATCTGGCGGAGATTTTAATAGTCATGAATCAAGAAGGGTGCTCAAGCAAAAACAAAAAAAATATCCAACCGCATTCTAGCTGGATCACTTGCATCTTTGCGAAACCAAAAGGTTTTGTCTTTGACAACAAAGAGAACCTCTCAAGCTATAAGGTCTAATGAAAATGAAGAAAGACAATCAGAATCTCGATCACTTGGAACAAGATATTACGATGAACGTCGTTTCACGACTTCAACGTCTCAACCCCAATTTAAGACCTGATCCTGACATGCTAATATTCAGTGCTCGTGCACCTGGCGAAGCTGCTTCTGCACAACAAGGTGCTATTCAACCAATCAATCGTCCATCCGCTGGCAGTAACACCCAAGGTTAGTCCGTAGCAAATGTTACACGTCTTCTCTTTCCTCTTCTTCTCCTCTTTTTTTATGTTGCTTCTCTACCACTGTGCGCTCTCTCGCTCTCTCTCTTTATCAGTGTGCAAGAGTGTAGGTGAAGAGCTTCAAGCACTTGGTTATATGAGTCAAGGAACAACTTCTTGACTAAATGTGACAGAGTAATAGGAAGTTGAACCAAGTTCTGAAGGGTCAGTTCTTGATTTTGCTGCATGACTAAGCTCCTTCTTAGTGAATAGTGATTCAGAGGCATTCTACATGATGAATCATGATAACGATGGAGCTCCTGAACTTTGTATTTACTTGCTTAGAGTTTAAGCATTCATGCGCAAACTCGACTATTTAGAGTCTTAAATTTTCCTCCTTTTTTCTGTTAATATGTAGTCTGACTGAGGCTGGCTTAAATGGATGTGGTATTCCGTTGAAAATTGATGTGTACTCATTTTGATAGGAACAATTCCATTCTGATATTAACTGAACTAAGTGAGGTGTCTTTATTCTGTTCTTGCTTTTTTCCTTAGGCTGAAGAGGCAGATCCTAGTATGCATACATCATTCTACCTCAACTTTATTTAGTAATTTCAGGTTCTTAGAATAGTTGAACTGTCATTCCCTATTTTCTTTGTTGATTGTTTGCTTACTTTTGCTTCATGCGTTCCCAATAGGTAGTTCATAGACTGTACTATATTAGCTTTTGCTACTTCTGGTGTTCTGATTCAGCCAGGAGTTCTGTTGGTACTTTGTTTAGTGCAAACACTTGAGACACTTGTTCTCTCTTATGACGTTACATACAGAAACAAATACTTGCTCCAAAAAATCTGAACTTGCATATACTAAGACAAAGTGTATAAAATAATGAATCTTAGCCCTTCAATCTTGATACAATATCATATCCAACTAATTCCAATATAAATGTTCCACTATGGTCGTTGGGAAAAAATTATCAACTCGGCCAATTAAAAAAAATAGTGAGTCTACCTTGCAGTACACAATGGTTATAAAATTACAGTTACCTTAGGATGAAAGAGCTGAGGCAGTTTCAATGCTCAATCGCGAGCAGCATTTTATAGAAAGCCAGATTGACTCAGTGCTACTGGAGTTCACTTTGACCAACCAACCATCTCTAGCGTGCTCTCTTTTGTTCATGTGCCTCCTAGCCTAAAGATAAGTCCAAGGTGCTTTCATTTAAATCTTGTCGTTCTGTAGGATTATCATGTGGAGCCTAGCAGATAAAGATACAATTTAGACATTGCACAACAATATACCATTATCGCTATTGGACTCACAAAAATCAGAATTTCAGTATCTAGCTAAACTTGTAGAGCAAATGACCAAGGCAGTTCTCATGATTGCTTTAAAATTTTTCATTGTGTTTGCATTCTTAATTCTCAGTTGATGTCAGTGTTCTTGGCTTCATAAACTTGTATTTATATTTATCTTTGGTCTGAGCATAATCCATTTTGCGAATCTCGCTTTATACTTTTTTATAGGTGGAGTAGATGAATAGATGGAAGAGGAGGCAGTGATGAAGATCTAGACCTTACTTGAATTTTGAATTGTTGATTGTTGTAGATGTATGTGGCGGTTTCTAGGAATGTTTGTTATCAAAACATTTTATAACTTTTGATCTTGAAATATCAAATGTATGTTATCGGTTTCATCACTATCTATGGATTTATTATTAGCTTGTCGGACAATTTGGATTATGAATAGTTTTATTTTGTTATTTATATAAATTTTAGTGTTTTATGGTTTATTGTATATATATGTAAAATCTTTATTTACAACAGGGGGCACTATTTTCAATTCAATTAAATTGTTACAGCTAACAAAATCGTTGCCATAGGACCTGCAAACCCTTCCAAAATATTATAAAAACCGTTAAACCGTTGCCATAGGACATGCAAACCGTTCCAAAATAATCTAAAAACCGTTGCAATAGGATCTGCAAACTGTTCCAAAATAATCTAAAAATCGTTGCAATAGATAGTTCAACCGTAGTAATATCTTAAAGAAATTGTTGCCATTCCTATACCCGTAACGGTTTAATAGATATAGTAACGGTTATTGACCGTTGCATTTAACGTTATGGTAACGGTTATTAACCGTTGCAGTTGATAAGAATAATCGTTCCAACAGGAAGAGGGAAAACCGTAGCGATAGACTGTACTATAGCAACGGCTATTGGAACCGTTCCAAAAACCGTTCCATAAGCTCTATAGCCACGGCAGCTTGTGGAACGGGCGCTGAACCGTTGCAATATATCTATGGCAACGGTTTACTAACCTATTGGAACGGTTTTCCATGCGTAGCCATAGGTGAATTTTCCAGTAGCATGTATAGAATGTATCATAGGGTCACTCCTGTATCTCACAGCAAGCAGACCATATATTGTTTTTAGTGTGGGTCTTTGTGCCAGGTTTCAATCTAATCCAATGGAATCCATCTAAAGGAAGCCAAGAGAATCTTGAGATATCTCAAAGGGACACAGGACCAGATTCTCTACTATCCCTCACGAGACAATTTTGATTTTATTGGGTATGCGGATGCTGACTACGCTAGGTATCAGGTGGACATGAAAAACACTTCTAGCATGGCACACTTTCTGGGTTCATGTATAATTTCATGGGGTACAAGAAACAAAACTCAGTGGCCCTCTCAACCGCAGAAGCTGAATATGTGGCTGCTGCATCTTGCTATGCTCAACTGTTATGGATTAAACAACAGCTGGAAGATTTTGGTGTGTTCTCTTAGTGCGTTCCCTTACTATGTGATAATACTAGTGCACTCAACATGGCCAATAATCCAGTTCAACATAAGAGAACAAAGCACGTTGATGTGCGACATCATTTCCTCAAAGATAATGTTTAAAAAGGGCTTATTTGTATCAAATTCTGCAGCATAGAAGATCAAATTGCAGACATATTCACCAAAGCACTAAGCAGGGAGCAATCTGAATGAAATCGCTTGTCTTTGGGGTTGAGGAAACCAAGCTGAGGATCTGTTCCCTCGATGATTGGTATGAAAGAGATGTACAGGTAAAATAGATAAAAAGTGTTTTCTGTCACAGTCTAACTTTTCTCTATACCGTTATAGGTAGACACACATGACAGTTACAGAGTAAAGAAGTAGCTAATGCATTGCACGTTGGTCAAAGAATGAGGCTTACAATTGCAAGAACTGTCAAGGAACCTGGTTCCCTCGACGCATGTTAGTAGTTCCTCGGTACTCTCATGCACAACTTTTAAACGGCTGAAATGGTGCCACGTCATCAAGTGTCAGTTTCTTTCCATTCCCGCTATTTGATTCCAAACTTCTCGCCTCTTTGTGAACCGACTCGGCTACCCAAATTTTCACCCACTCCTAACCGGTTCCTTACCCCCATTAAATAACCCCTCTCAGTCATTTTCACAACTATCCACATAAAAGAACCCAAAATTCCTCTTTTCCCTTCTTCAAGCCAGACATCTTCTTCTTCAACTCACTAAACTCCATCATGACTGAAAATCAGGAAGCCCAAAGTGCTCCAACCATCGTCCCCACTGTTCTGCACCCGTTGAAACACTAGTGTTAGAGCCAACACTCCCTACTCTAACTAGTCCAAATCTGTCATGACCCAAACCCGTGGGCCGCGATGGATGCCCGAGTCCTACCTGTCGGACACCCCTAAGCATGCGTCTAAGATATGAACCTAAATGACATCTGCTAAATTACGAGAATAACATACATAAAGGAAACCTGCCAAAAAAGCATATGTACATATACATGCGAAATACAGTGGGCGAGCCGGCAAGGCTGTTATAGACAAATATATACCCAAAACTGAAAGCCGACAAGGCCACATGCTATCCAATTATACATAACTGTCTACAGACCTCTAATAGAAATACAACTGTACAAAGACAGGACTGAGCCACGTCATACCCATATATCTATATATAAACATATCGTACCAAAATCAAAAGCAACTCCAGATAAAGTGGAGCACGCCAACTCTCGCTGATCAAGGATCCTAACAAGGGGGACCGTCGACTTGCCTACCTGCACCTACGGGCATGAAATGCAGGCCCCGAGAAATAGCGCGTCAGTACGAATAATGTACTGAGTATGTAAGGCATGAAAATCAGTACATAAAAGACATAGATGAAATATGGAATAAAGAAATCCATTCGTAAGTCTGAATAACTTTGTAAATTCTGAAACATTTGTAATGTCATGCACGTGCATATAAATGTCGTGTCATGCATAGGTATAGGTAAACTTAACATCATCAAGCCACTGAGGGCATCCCATCGTATCGTCTCAGCCACTGTGGGCAACATCATCAACATATACCAACTGATCACGTGGTGGTGCGTATATAACAGCGTAACCTTTTTCCCGTATCCCATATAAATATAATATACATATATATGCGTATATAACGCCATCTGGTCATGGGTCAATGTACATGTATAAATGCATGAAATGCATAAGAAATATATTAATAAGATTTTCTCGGAATGCCATAAAACTCAATATGCTTTTCGGATAAACTTTATCAAATATGCATTTTTCTGAGACCCATGAACAGACCATAGAATAATAAGACTTATGGGAGAATAAGAATATACACATCTCTAGCATTTCTACGAATAGAGTAATTTATGGAAGTTGTGCACTTGCTCGTCTCGTTTGTATCGTATAGATCATGCCAAAAAGAAAGAAGGGGTAGCCTTAACATACATGGAGTAGGGAAAATTCTGTATAATATTCTTGGAAAAGAATATACCGTACTCCTTCAGAACCGCAAAATTTTACGTTGCTACGGATTTTGTTGGAAGCCTTTTCTTTTCGGATGAGCTTAGGGTCTGTTCTTGAGTATTTGTGAATCACAATTCACTTTTGATATTCTCTGATAAAAAAATGAACTAAACTTTTAAAAGAAACCAATCTTTTAAAAGCTACCAAACTTTATAAACCTTGAGGCTTTTAACATGTTGATGACCACTAAGCTTATATGACTACTTAGTCATATGTTTGGTAAGCTTTCTTGCTGCCACGTTTTGGGGGGAAATTATTAATCTTTATCCCTTTTTTAGTTAATTAGGTAATATCCCGTTACCCAGTAATTAACCAATTACCCGCATAATATAAAATTATCTCAAATTACTTAAAATTCTACTTATTTTCAATATACTTTATACACCATACTACCGTGGTCATATGGTACCTTGCATGGTACTAGTCCATAATTATCGGGTATTATTGCTCGACCCGTGTTTTATCCCAGATCGGCCACCTTCAACGAAGCTCGTTCTTTATTTCGTGTACACTTTATCCTTTGTGATACTTACTTATTGCTTGTTATAAATGGCATTAATACGTTAACCTCAAGATAATCTCATCCCCGAGTCTACGTCGATTAACTGAAGACAAAACTATAACGTATGAAAACGCGAGATGTAACATCCTTCTCCCCTTAGAAACATTCGCCCTCGAATGTTTAACTCTCTGGGATATATATGACCTTGGCAGAGTCACCTTTGTAACAATAATACTACCAACTCGTTCTGTAGAAACTCAATAATTCAACGCCACATAGGACCACAATCATTAATAACGACAATGACCTCACACGACCAACGACAATAACTGACACAAGAATCCATACACATACCTTAAGGTTATGACGTCTCAGTCGGACCCTTCTCTGGAGGAGGAAATAAGTGGGGATATCTAGACTTCATGTCTTCCTCGGCCTCCCAAGTCATTTCTTCAACATTGTTGTTTCTCCAAAGTACTTTCACCGAAGCTATGTCTTTAGTTCCCAATCTTCGAACCTGTCTGTCTAGTATAACAATGGGAGTTTCTTCATATGACAGCTGCTCTGTGACCTGAACGTCATCAACTGAAACGATTCTGGAAGGATCTTCGATACATTTACGGAGCATAGACACATGAAAGACTGGATGTACAGACTCCATGTCCGGAGGCAAGTCTAACTCATATGCTACCTGGCCTACCTTGCTCATGACCCTATATGGTCCAATGTACCGAGGGATAAGTTTTTCCCTTCTTCCGAACCTCATAATGCCCTTCATTAGTGATACCTTTAGGAATACCCAATCGTCAACCTGAAATTCCAAGTCTCGCCGTCGATTATCCGCATAAGACTTTTGATGGCTTTGAGCTGCTAATAGCCTTTCCTATATTAGCTTAAGTTACTTGATTTCCTGCTGTACCAATTCTGGTCCTACTAACATAGTTTCCCCAACATCGAACCACCCTATAGGCGACCTACACTGTCACGACCCAAACCGAAGGGCCGTGACGGGCACCCGGTGCCTTACTCAACCGAGTACCAACGTAACATATCTTTCTTATCATACTATTATGGGTAAATGAGCTAGAAAACCCTTCATGAGATAACAAGAATAAAACATAAGGGAATACTAAAACAAGAATAAAACATAAGGGAATACTAACGTATGATGACCCAGCATGATATACAAACTTATACATGTGACATACGGGCCTATAAGGGCGACATGACCATTTGTAAACTCAAAACGTAGGCCGACAAGGCCATACAAGTATCCATACACCTGACATCTGTCTACAAGCCTCTAAGAGTACATAAAATTATAAAGGTCGGGACAGGGCCCCGCCATACCAATCAATACATATCCAAAGCATACTGACCAAATAGGCAACTCCGGAGCAAGTGGAGTACACCAATACCTTCGCTGAGCTGATAGCCTACTAGGAGGAATATCAACCTGTCTATCGGGACCTGCGGGCATGAAACGCAGCGTCCCCAAGCAAAAGGGACGTCAGTACGAATAAAGTACCGAGTATGTAAGGCAGGAAAGCATGAATAAGAACAGTAATGTAAAGAGAAATAGAGGAGATACAACCTGTAACATCTGAGTGCCTCTGGGGGCTACTGACATGAAATGCATAATACATATATATACATAAACTTTTAAAAACATACGCCTCTGTGGGCATCATCATCATCATATCATATCCGGCCTCAAAAAGGACTCGGTAAAAACGTACCCGGCCACGTGGAGCTCGGTAAACCCAACTGATCAGTGGTTGCACAATAGGTGCCATACCCGGCCGACTATAGCGCGGCTCGGTAGAGTAAAATAGATACATATATATAATGTATGCTCGACTCATGGAATCAAGTTCTAAACCTTTTGGAGTGACTTAAGAACATTATGGACATCCCTACCATCAATATGAACCTTAGTAGGATTTAAGGATCATACCACTTGTTTAGAATAACTTTATAAGGAAAGAACAACATGGACAACCTTAGTTTCTAGGAGTAGATCCGTTATGAATTAGCATACCATTTATGTTCATGTCACTTTAGATCATGCCAAAAGAAAGAAGTAAGAGCCTTAACATACCTTGTATATACTGCCCCAATCTCAAGCTATGCAATTTTCACGACTCCTTAGTCTACAATAAGAGAAACGATACTGTAGTTATCATTCAAGCGTCATAACTATTATGTATCGACCACAACCTATTTTACGATGAAACGGACAGCACCTCCCTTATATATATATAACTTCACACAATTCCAAACAATCACCAAACAGCCCAAACAACATCAATAATAATCATATTGAGCCTCCCAAAACAGTCCACGCACAACCTAATCACTTCATACATACGACGGCCACCATAGTCGTGTCAAACAACCCGGAAATGTTACGAAGAACTACCAGACCACAACCCTAAATCTATATGGTGTTTTTCCACATCCTTCCACGTCCAAAACTCCACAAAACAGTAGTAAAACACGCAGCCCAACAGCAATACAAAACAGTCCACAAAACAGTCCGCTACAAGTGAATAACTCGAACTCACGGCTTCCGATCACCGTCCCGTGAGTTCTTACATGTATAGAACGAATTACCATGAATTCACAGAAGAATAAATGTAGGAAAAAGAGCAGTAAACTCACCTTACTTGTTGGATAACCCAGCCCTTCCCTTGGTTCTTCAAACTGTAGGTTTTACCCCCAATTAAAACTTGAAAGAGAGGGAAAATCGATTAGGGTTTGTGGATAATTTTTGGGAGGAAGTTTGCAGGGGTTTAGGTCTGATTATTTGTGATATATAATGAGGGTTATATTTCAGGAGATAACCCTTTAAATGGGCTCTTTGGCCGACCCGAAATTTCCTATTTTTGGGCTATCATTTAACCAAGTAGGTGACACACCTACTTGTCACCTAGCAGCTTGTGCAGTCTCGCAAAAATGCCTATATCTCTCTACTCCAATGTTGTATTGATGAAAGGTTTAATGCGTTGGAAACTAGACTCATAGATCTTTAATTTGATAGGTAGATAATCCCCTAATTCCATGTATATTGGGAGAAAAACTCAGTTACATTTGACCTAATTTTCAGCACATTTATGAATGGAACTTGTGATGACCTTTTTCCAACTTTTGTTCCACAACTCGCTAGACTTCAAAACATAATACCAACTATCGTACGACTAAAATAACTCATAATATAATCTCCTTATAATATTAATCCTAGTATCACCCCAAAAGTACATGGTAAAATATTTCAACTTGTCGACTTTCGACGAAACTTATTTTCTTCAATTCGTTTAGCTTCTAAGCCTTCAAAACCTCTTGCTACTTGGTACTAATGATCTTAAATATTTATAACCTCCACATTAACATGATGAACTAACTTTGTAAACTTTTAAATGATGATTCCCTTTCTGAGCTCACATTAATTGACTTATGATGTACTCTTACATACGAAAACACGGGGTGTAACATACACTTCCTTCCGTAAAGAGCTTCGCATGGAGCCATCTGAATACTGGAATGGTAGCTATTATTATATGCAAATTCAATAAGCGGCAGATGATCATCCCATCTACCTTTGAAGTCTATCACACAAGCTCATAACATATCCTCAAGTGTAGTACGCTTTGCCTGTCCGACTGTCTGGGGATGAAATGATGTATTAAGACTTACCTGAGTCCTCAATTCTTTTTGGAATGACCTCCAGAAGTTAACTGTAAATTGAGCTCCTCTATTCGAGATAATAGATACAGGGACACCATGCAGTTGTACTATGTCCTTAATATAAAGCCTTGCATAATCCTCTGAGGAATATGCAGTCCTAATGGCCAGAAAATGGGCTGACTTTGTAAGCCTATCAACAATCACCTATATTGAATTGAACTTACGCTGGGTACGAGGTAAGCCTACGATGAAATCCATATTGATTACTTCCCACTTCCAACTCGGAATCTCTATAGCCTGCAATAACCCACCAGGTTTTTGGTGCTCAATCTTGACCTGCTGATAGTTAGGGCACTGAGCAACAAACACTGCTATATCCTTATTCATTCCGTCACACCAATATACTTCCCTGATATCACGATACATCTTTGTTGCTCCTGGATGGATATAATAACGATAATAGTGAGTTTCTCCTATAACCTGCTGACGCAGCCCTGCAACATTAGGGACATATATTCGTCCTCGATATCTAAGGACCCCATCTTCTGTAATCTGAAACAGTGTCTTCTCCTTCTGAGGGGCGGTATCCCTATAATGAACTAACACAAGATCCTCATACTGGCGTTCCTTCACTTCAGTTACTAAAGAGGATGTCGCCGTATCCTGAATAGTAATTCCAATTTTACTTGAGTCCAGTAACCGAACTCCAAGACTGGCTAGCTAATGAATCTCATGGGCTATTCCTCTCTTTTCCGACTATAAATATGACATGCTACCCATAGATCTATGGCTAAGGGTGTCGGCTACTACATTCACCTTCCCCAGATGGTATAAAATATCAATGTCATAGTCTTTAAGTAGCTCCAACCATCTCCATTGACGTAAATTCAATTCTTTTTGCTTGAAGATATACTGGAGGCTCTTATGACCCGTATAGATATCAACATGAATGCCATACAAGTAGTGCCTCCACATCTTTAGTGCATGAATCACCGCGGCTAACTCTAAATTGTTGGTCGGGTAGTTCTTCTCGTGCTTCCTTTGTTGTCTAGAAGCAAAAGCTACAACCTTACCATACTGCATCAGCACACAACCTAACAGGTTTTTGGTGCTCAATCTTGACCTGCTGATAGTTAGGGCACTGAGCAACAAACTCCGCTATATCCTTTTTCATTCCGTACTAACAATATACTTTCCTGATATCATGATACATCTTTGTTGCTCTTGGATGGATAGAATAACGATAATAGTGAGTTTCTCCCATAACCTGCTGACGCAGCCCTGCAACATTAGGAACACATAATCGTCCTAGATATCTAAGGACCCCATCTTCGGTAATCTCAAACGGTGTCTTCTCCTTCTGAGGGGTGATATCCATATAATGAACTAACACAAGATCCTCGTACTGGCGTTTCTTCATTTTAGTTACTAAAGAGGATGTCGCCGTATCCTGAATAGTAATTCCAATTTTACTTGAGTCGAGTAACTGAACTCTAAGACTAGCTAGCTAATGAATCTCATGGGCTATTCCCCTCTTTTTCGGTTGTAAATATGACAGGCTACCCATAGATCTATGGATGAGGGCGTCGGCTACTACATTCGCCTTCCCCGGATGGTATAGAATATCAACGTCGTAGTCTTTAGGTAGCTCCAACCATCTCCTTTGACGTAAATTTAATTCTTTTTGCTTGAAGATATACTGGAGGCTCTTATGATCCGTATAGATATCAACATGAATGCCATACAAGTAGTGCCTCCACATCTTTAGTGCTTGAATCACCGCGGCTAACTCTAAATCGTTGGTCGGGTAGTTCTTCTTGTGCTTCCTTAGTTGTCTAGAAGCATAAGCTACAACCTTACCATGCTGACTAGAAAACTACGCTACAACCTTACCGTGCTGCATCAGCACACAACCCAATCCAATGCCCGAAGCGTCACAATAGATCACATAACCATCGGTCCCTTCTGGGAGCGTTAGAACCGGTGCTGAAGTTAATCTGTCCTTTAATGCCTGGAAACTCCATTCACAAGCATTAGTCCATTGAAACTTTGCTTCTTTCGGAGTCAACTTTGTCAAGGTTCTGAAAGGGAAGAAAATCCCTCNGAGTCCATTGGTTTGTGTTTTGAACAAGAGTCAACCCTAACACTAACAATCCACAGGTACAAAATGAACATTGCTAGAAGCCTCCATTAAGGGTTGAGCAGGCTCCACAGCAGCTGCAAATGTGGTGGTATGACTTAGATAAAGATGGTCAGGATTGGGTAACAAAGCGTTTGGGAGCTCTTACAGACATTATGGAAGTCAAACTGCGGGATGATCTGATTAACGCCTTACTAACTTTCTAGGATCCCGTTCACAACGTCTCCTACTTCTTCGATTTTAAGATTACTCCCACTTTGGAAGAAATAGCCGGATATTCTGGGTTCGACTGGGACTTGTGAAATCAGCAACTTATATTTCCAAGGTCTTTCTCTGTGCACCGATTCTTTGATCTCCTGAATATTGGTAAGCAAGAGGAAAAATAATGTAAACAAAGGATGGTGTTCCTTTTACTTCCTGTAATACCTCCTTAACCCTTACCTGATGGTACCCAGACCTCAAGTCTATCTTTGAAAAACACTTGGCACCTAGCAACTGATCAAATAAATCATCAATCCTCGGGAACGGGTACTTATTCTTGATCGTTGATAAGTTATGGTACTTTAAGTTTTGATGATTTGCCAAACAGTCTTGAGGAACCAGTTGTGATCAGCTCCTTAGGTTCGTTCTCATGGGGAATATGGCTGATTCGTAGGGGAAACAATGTGGAGATCTGGTTCTCAGGGGAAATATCAATTCTAAGTTTGTTGTCATAAAAAAGGGGGAAATTGATAGGTTACATGTACCTTGGGAATAAGTACTTTACTTTATGTTTTGATGATCTAACAAACTTACCNCATAGAGAAATTCAAAGAATGCTAGCATTTACCATAATATACATGCTTCAATGAATAAAAAGAATACAATTATTTTTGGACGGTTGTTACCCATTGTATTGTATCGTATTGTTATCTTAAATACAATGTTTTGTTTTGATTAATACTTAAATTTTATTGTATCGTATCGTTAAATCCGTCGTTACATAACGATGAAATGTGCCACTTTATGTAACGACCGATTTGGTGTGATCGCGTCGTTACCTTGTCTTTTTCTTTCAATCTCACCCTTTATTATTATTAAATAATTTTATTTTATCATTTACCCTACTTTTTTATATAATAATTTTACCTGTATCATTTACAAAAGACGAATCTTTTCAAACGTCAACAGAAGAAGAAATACATAGGTTAACAATTACTTTTTATACATGTATATTAAATCTTAAACACTCTTAGCGATGTTTACACACCTTAACTGTTCCACCATATACATATTATCTCCTAACTTTGCCCGTCAAGGCTTACGCATAAAAAAAAACAGTTTAGTGTACTAAGCTCCCGTTATGCGCGGGTTTCGGGGAAGGGCTGTATTATAAGTGTTTATTGTACACAGCCTTCTGCAAGAGGCTATTTCTACGGCTCGAACCCGTGACCTCCTGATCACATTGCAACAACTTAACCAGTTACGCCAAGGCTTCCCTCGTGAAGCTTAGGTATATTAAAAAACTTCCTCCGCTGTGTCTATATGGACCTAACCACAATTTTTAATTAATTGCGGGGAGAAGAGTTCTGAAGCCGTCAAATAATACAAAGCTGACGGACGTTGATCATCAGGTGAGTTATGATTTCAGGGTGTAAAAACTGAGTTTTTCGAGTTTGTTGTTGACAGAGACGGAGTCAGAATTTAAACTTTATGGGCTCAGTATTCTAATTCTTTTAAGTGAATTGGTTCTAAATTAACAATTTATACATAATTCAATGATTTTTTAAGATAATTACATGATTTGGACAAAAGTTACTGAGTTCAACCGAACCTGCATTCAAAGGGCTAGCTCCGTCCCTGGTTGTTGGTTGGACTTAGATTCCATGTGTGTTTGTATAGATGTGCTGTAGTATAGACAAACCTCTCCATAATAGCCTCGTTTGTTCCGGATATTTTTGGATGTTATAGCCAATTGCTGTTACAGATAACATATATTATAACAAAACATGAGATTTGCTTTCGGATTTGGCTTTTAAGTGAAGTGCTATTATATAAGGATGTTCTGACGGAATGAGATTTGTTCTTGGTTTTTGTATACACTATATATTGAACTATTAAAACACTTGCCTTGTCCTAACTAGGCATGGGAATTCACATTCAAGAGGAAATAATTATGGAAATCCTCAATGTGCGGACTCTTCTTGGATTCAAATTGATGAATATCCTTGCTATACTAGCAATGTGTTCTTAGGTATGGACTCTTTGGCATTTGTACATGGGGCATTTCATTGGATCGTTTCTGATGGTAATTATGTGATTTTTTTTAGTATTTCAAGTGATGTGTACAGAAAGATACAGTATTTCTATTATTCTCTATTATACTTTTGTACTGTCACAGATTTCAATTGGACATGTGTTCCATCCTGCATTTCCAATTGCAATAACATGGTACCTGGTGTACTAAGCTCCCGCTATGCGCGGGGTCCCGGGAAGGGACCCTGCATTTCTGCAAGAGAATATTTTCACGGCTCGAACCCGTGACCTACTGGTCACATGCCAACAACTTTACTAGTTACAACAAAGCTTCCCTTCGCATTTCCAGTTGCAATAATCTCCCAAAAGTTTTACTTAATCATCAACTGAGGTAAAGAACATACAAGTATGTCTCAATTGGGCATACTGCATTTAGCGGTGTTTTTGTTGTATCAGGGTAGGTTGTCTACATCACACCCTCTTGGGGTGCGGCCCTTCGTCGGATCCTATGTGAACGCAGGATGCTTTGTGCACGGGCTACCCCTTTTTTGTTGCATTTAGCACAGTAGAAAAGTACAGAACCATTCCTCCTTTTTTTCCTGGCAAGTTAAATATTTGGCTGGTCGGTAAAAAAAATTGTATTTACTAGACAAATATATACAAAAATATACACTCATTATGTAAAAATAATATGTATATAATACATTAATATACAAAAATATTATATTTTGCCAACTATTATTTCCGGGAGCGACTAGTTTTTCCTTTCTTTTTTTCCTTCTTGTAAACTTTGTACTAAAACTCTTCTTCGCAGGAGCCTAAACTGTACGGAAAAGTACTCGCAGTATTATGTGAAGATATAATAATAATTTTGTCCCTCTCATCCTGAGCAAAGGATTAATTGGTTTTGTTTCAGTTCAGATTAAATCCGAACCAACCCGAATCATGAACATGCCCCGATCCAAATCATTTTTGGTTGGTGATATATCATATATGATTAAGGAGATTCAATGTCCCATTCAAAAGGTAAACGAGGTATTGTTTCTTATGGAAATCAACTTAAATGCTCAATTCAAATTGAAAATGCCAATTAAAAACAAACAAACTTTGGCAATTTGAGGACCAAAATAAGTGTGGTAGAAAATGAGAGAAAAATTAGAATTAAAAAGATGAATATGATCATACAAACACCATAAATGGTGATCTTAGTATTCAGAGTAGCTGAAGATCATGATTCATAAGATAAGACAACATAAACAGTATGTAGTGGTAAGTACTTATCATTTCTTCAAAATCGAAATTGTATACAGATGCTTACACTTTCCTGAGAATTCTAAGACCCGATCATCCGTCAAAGAAATATTCTTAGGTCTTAAGTATACAACTCTATAGCTTGTCTCCTACATAAGGTAGAAAAGAATGCTTTGCATAAACATCTCAATGTCCAAAATAAAAAAGAACGAGGGGATGAATCAACAAGGCGAGTGTTCTCGAAGAGAAAATCATGATGGAAAAAGCGTGAGGAGAATTCTAAACTCGAGATATGCAAAATAAAATGACTCCCTTGGAGATGGTATTCTTTATTTTAGGTTTTGATCGATTTTTCTATCGATTGAAGTTATTACGCTGGCTGATTAAATCTCTTCCTGTAATCAGAGGTAACATGTTCCAGACCTGAAATAGAATTACCTTTAATAGGAAGCGCTTTATCTCTAAAGTAGAATTTTCCAAAGCGGATAGCGGATATCGGGTGAAAACCACCCTTTCAGTTTAGTGGTAAGGGTTGTTGAGTGGTTAGA